TGTCCCTAAACTTTTAGCGGTTCAAAAGTTATCAAAAAATATGAAATAAATATGGAAGCATCTCTCTAATGTAATAAGATGATCCAACGGAGGGATTGTCAAAATATGCATCTATGTGTCCTCGGCAAAAATAATAAGTATTTCAGCTCACTGCGACATAAATATATACTGAAATATTTGTTTTTTTGTCCAGGACACATACAGTCGTATTTTTTTAATCCCTCCGTTGGATCATGTTATATTATAGGTGTGTTGGTTCAGTATTTTTTTCAGAATTTTTGAGAACTTTTGCATCGTTGAAACCCTTAACTAGTTTTGTGGCAAGCACTTGTAGAAAATCCTACCCCTATATAGGTAAAACTGTGTCTACCATAGCTTGCCACAGAACTAGTTAAGTGTCCCTAAACTTTTAGCGGTTCAAAAGTTATCAAAAAATATGAAATAAATATGGAAGCATATCTCTAATGTAATAGGATGTATATATATATATATATATATATGTTTGATTGATGATGGAACGGAAGATGATTTTTAAAAGCAGAGAGAAATGCATCTCGTGAGCACGGGCAAGGGTGTAAGCAGCCGGTTGAGTAGTGGCTCCCTCCATCCACATGTGAACCGGTAGGGCCCAAGCTAGGTTGCCAATCACGGCTCCTCGTCCGCTTCTCCACCCGTCGACCATCTCCCTTCATTCTTCCGTCCTTCCTTTTGATCTCGAGTGGTACACCAAGAAGACGCTCCCTACCACTTAAGCTGCTGGCCTATAAATTCGCAAGCTCCCCAACGGCATTAACCACCAGACCAGAGTAGGGCCTTCGATCAGTAACCAGCTAGACCAGCAAGCAAGCGAGCCATGGCAGCGACCTCCTCCTCCTCCTACGCCGTCGCGGTCGCTCTCCTCTGCCTGCTCGCCACCAATGGCTGCTGCGGCTGCCCTGGACCCGCACCTGCCCCCACACCTACACCTACACGTGCCCCCGCTACCCCCAGCCCCGTCCCCGTTACACCTCCACCTGCGCCAGCTCCCCCCAGCCCCGTCCCCGTTACACCTCCACCTGTGCCCGCTACTCCCAGCCCAGGCTCCGGCTCCGGCTCCGGCAGCACCAACAGCTCCTCCGGCGGCTGGCTAGACGCGAGGGCCACCTGGTATGGCGCAGCCGATGGCGCCGGGCCGGACGACAATGGTGGCGCGTGTGGATTCAAGAACGTGAACCTGCCGCCGTTCAACGCCATGACGTCGTGCGGCAACGAGCCGCTCTTCAAGGACGGCAAGGGATGCGGCTCCTGCTACCAGGTCAGAACCGGCATTGCAGTTGCTTCACACTGACAGTAGAGTGCTGATGGGTCTTTGATCGTCGCGTTCCATTGTGTTTGCGTGTAGATAAGGTGCGTGGGCAAGGCTCACCCGGCGTGCTCCGGCGTCCCCGAGACGGTGATCATCACGGACATGAACTACTACCCCGTCGCCCGCTACCACTTCGACCTCAGCGGCACTGCTTTTGGCGCCATGGCCAAGGACGGCCGCAACGACGAGCTCCGCCACGCCGGCATCATCGACATGCAGTTCAAGAGGGTGCCGTGCCAGTACCCGGGGCTGTCGGTGACGTTCCATGTGGAGAAGGGGTCGAACCCGAACTACCTGGCGATCCTGGTGGAGTACGCGAACGGCGACGGCGACGTGGCGCAGGTGGACCTCATGGACGGCGGCGAGCCGACGGGGGCATGGAGGCCGATGAGGCACTCGTGGGGCTCCATCTGGCGCCTGGACACGCGTCGCCCGCTGCGGGGGCCCTTCTCGCTGCGCGTCACCAACGGCTACGGCAGGTCGCTGGTCGCCGACCAGGTCATCCCCGCCGACTGGCAGGCCGACGCCGTGTACAGCTCCGACGTCCAGTTCGATGATTGATCGCGTTCGATGATCCATGGAAGGCATGCACGTCCATGCATGCATGGATTTCTTGTGCTAAGCTATATAGCTGAGACGTCGCCTGTGACGTCCGGTGCGTGTCCTCGTCGTGTGCTAGCTATGTGTGTTATCATTTATCGTGTCCTACTATCCTTGTATACATATACACATGACAATTTTTTGTTGCGTCGATACACGTGACAACTTTAGTTTGTGGGATTTGGAGAAGGCTGGTATATATACTGTACGTATAGCTATTCTGTCTCGTACCTGCAGCTATAAATTTATGTTAGAAGTCTCTCCTCCCTGCTCCGTGGCGGCTGGAACCCTAGCCGCCGCCAGGAGAGGCCATCTTTTAGCGCTGTCCTCCGGCGGCTCCCCTTCGCTGGCGACCTCAGTCGTCGGTGATGAGGAGAGTCGCCGTATCCATGCGCGTGGATCGTTTTTACTCCCTGTAGCTTAGGGTTTTACGTTGTTCATCGTCTTCGCTTCGGCGGCGACGATGGCGGCGCTGAATAAAGATTCTTCGGATCCTTCCTTGACAAGGCCATCGGTCCTATGGTTGGGGATAGATTTGAAAACCAGACTGTTCAAGCAAGGATGGCGTGGCGGCGGCGGCATCCTTGTGGTGGACCTGTATCCTCGGGCTCCGTCGTTGCGACGACGTTTGCTCAAGCGTCGGCGTGGAGCTTGGGAGGTAATTCAGGAGCGGATGCAGATTGTGGTCTGCATCGATGACATCTAGAAAACAGAACGTGTGCTGGGTTCGTGGTTCGTGGATGGCGGATATGGTTTCCTCCTTCGGCGTCTTAGTTGTGGTGGGGTGCCAGATCTGGAGTTCGATGGTGTGTCCGGGATGTTGCCCCGGTGTGATTCGTTCAACGGCAATGACTTCACTTTTGATGAGCCACCTTCGAGGTCTGCAAAGCTGCATATCAGCGATGAAGCCGCGTCGAGCTCGGGTGAGGAGGTGATTCGTCATTCTTTTCTTCGGTGGCTGCTGTGATGGTGCCGGAGGCAGGTGACGGATGTTGGTGTCAAGTTTAGAGATGTTCTGTTATCTTTTCAGTTTTGTCATGTCGGTTTTTACGTGACTTGTGTTTTTGTTCTTTGTGATATGAATGAGACACGTATTACTATGCAAGAAAAGCTATAAACTTATGTTTGTAATCTTATCATGCAAAAAAAATTGTTTGTAATGTCTATTGTATTATATAAACAAGTTTACTATATCACTTGAGCTATATGTAAGGCGCCTGAAAATTGAATTCAGGCCAGTCGATTTTTTCTGGCCATTGATTGTTGCTCCAAGATTCATGCTTATTTTTCTTTTGTCTGTTGTGTGCTATGTCTTGTTTCAAGCTAGGAATGTTTGACTAACCTAAATTTGGGGTTCAGTCAATTCCTTCATGGACTGATGCCCGGTTAGCTGTGCGACCGAGCTATATCTATTTAGGCCATCTGACGAATCAGCCCTTCCCTCTCTTCCTTTGTTTTTATATTTCATTTTCCGCTTTTCTATTTTTATGCATTTTTGCTTTTTAGTACTTTCTTCTTCCGTCCTTATGGGTATTTTTCGGACTGTAAATGTATGCATGCAAGTGCTATATAATAAGTGTGTTAATTATTTTATTCTTACTTAGCACAAGTGCGTTAAGTGACGCTGGGTCTGTATGATCGTTGTTTCTGCCGAGGCGGGATTTGGGGCGGCGCTTACGCCGCCGTTTTGACTGTTTCTCGAGGGAACAACCCTTCGTTGCGTCCTTTCATTCCTGTTGTCGTTTTCCTTTGGTGTGTCCACCATGTATACGTCATGTGGTGAAGTGGGCGTCCAGTGCCCTGGGGGCAGTGGTTCCTGTTCGTCTCCTGCATCGTCGTCCATGCCGTCGATGTATTCAGAGTCGGAGTCGAGCATGTCAGTTAAGTCATCGACAGTGGCTATTAAGTGGGTGGTGGGTGGGCCGCGAATTTCTTCGTCGTCCGTATCCCAGTCCTGCCGGACATAGTTCGGCCAGGATCCTCCTGACAAGGAGAGAGACCTTAATGAGTTCACTATGTCGCCAAAGGGCGAGTGCTGAAAAATATCCGCGGAGGTAAACTCCATGATCGGCGACCAATCAGATTCGATAGGAATGGGCGCAGGCGGCTCGGAGTCCGTGGCCGGAGAAGGATACGGCAGTTTAACAACACGGCTCTCGTGCAAGGTAAGGTCGATGTTTGGCTCGACTGCCGCTGAGGGTAAGGCCTCCGTGGCAGGGTCCATCCACCCGTCCATAGACGGCGCATCTGGCTCCGAATTGAGGGTCAGAGCGGCTACCTGTGCGATCTCCTGAACACTGTCCGATGGTAGAGCTAAATCATACTCATCGTGACCGCGTGACGCACAAGGCAGAGGCCCGAGTCCGTCGAAGATCAAGTCTCCACGGATATCGGCCGTGTAGTTTAAGCTTCCAAGCCTGGCCTGGTGGCCAGGGCCGTAACTTTCAATCTGCTCCAGATGGCCAAGCGAATTGGCCCGCAGTGCAAAGCCGCCGAACACGAGGATCTGTTCGAGGAGAAAAGTCTCACCCTGGACTGCATCACTATCGATGATAGTAAGAGCCATCAAGCCTAACAGCGACGACACAAAGGAACTCTCAATGAAAGCACCAATGTCGGTGTCAAAACCGGCGGATCTCGGGTAGGGGGTCCCGAACTGTGCGTCTAAGGCGGATGGTAACAGGAGGCAGGGGACACAATGTTTTACCCAGGTTCGGGCCCTCTTGATGGAGGTAAAACCCTACGTCCTGCTTGATTAATATTGATGATATAGGTAGTACAAGAGTAGATCTACCACGAGATTAGAGAGGCTAAACCCTAGAAGCTAGCCTATGGTATGATTGTATGTTGTCCTACGGACTAAAATCCTCCGGTTTATATAGACACCGGAGAGGTTAGGGTTACACAAGGTCAGTTACAAAAGAGGAGATACACATATCCGTATTGCCTAGCTTGCCTTCCACGCCAAGTAGAGTCCCATCCGGACACGAGACGAAGTCTTCAATCCTGTATCTTCATAGTCTAACAGTCTGGCCAATGGAGATAGTCTGGCTGTCCGGAGACCCCCTAATCCAGGACTCCTACACCCTAGAAGACCGACTCCTCGCCCGAAGCGGAAAAAGTCTTTAAGGACTTGAGACCTCTCGAACAGCGACCATCTCTCGCCTTATCATGACAGTCAGTTTTCGGCTTTCTCTACTGAGGTGCTCGTCCGGAAGAACCGGGACACAATCGCAGTAGTTCTCCCAACGCTACCTTAGCCGATATAGCGGAACGTAAGGTACCAAAGCATGGGAGCCGGGCAAACCCGACTATTGACCCAAGACATGATTCAGAGCTAATGCATATAATGCTATAAGTTCGGGGTGCCGCACCGTCGAAAGTGTTCGGACTTCTCATGCCGTATTATGGGGTAAACGAAAGCCCCTGGCGTACTGACCGTACCAGAATGTACAGATGCAAGTTGTTGTAAATGAACATACAAGAAAAAAGGGATGGATAATGCAATAATTAATAGACTAATGCTATGCATTGTTATTTAAATAATACGTCGAAGCGTACTGATACAAGTAGTGCAATAAGCGAAAAATAGGACTATTGGGCATGTCCTATCCAAGGGCAAGCTGCGTAAGGATAGTAAGAAGCGGGTATATCGATTATTATTAGAGATCACCTGTGGGTTCCCTTGTACGTCTTAGTTTCTTGCCTCCTTGGTTGTTCCTTTCCGTAATGTGTCCGGCAATCCTACTGCCGGAAAGGGCTTCCAGAGAGTAAGGTCCTGAAAGAGAAAAAAATGATAAAGGTATGCAGCCCCTAGGGAAGTTAAGCCGCCTTGCGGGACGTGCCCTGATCGTGCCCCCGCCTATGCCCATGGTATTTTCAGTGCGTAATTATGTACGCGTGGCACGGATTTCGTCGCTTGAATGGGACTAGGACGGGGGCCGAATTGCTAGGCGAGCTCTGAACGTGCCAGGCGGTCCTGTTGCAGGTTACTCTGGACTCGCTTGATGGTGTCCGGGGGCTGTACCGCCGAATTGGTGGTTTGCCTTAGAAGGCTGCTTTGTGCTTCTGCTGCGAGGGCCATAGTGTGCTCTTCCGTGCGGAGCGAGAGTTCTGTATTTCCATTGACTGTTATGACCCCACCTAGGTCCTGGCACCTTGAGCTTGAGGTATGTGTAATGCGGTACCACATTGAATTTTGCAAAGGCGGTCACCTGAGCAGTGCGTGATAGCCACTTCGGAACGGGACGATATCGAAGATTAACTCCTCGCTTCGGAAGTTGTCTGGAGATCCGAAGACCACTTCCAGTATGATTGAGCCCGTGCAACGGGCCTCTACACTTGGGATGACGCCCTTAAAGGTGGTTTTGGTGGGTTTGATCCTTGAGGGATCTATACCTATTATGTGCACTGTATCCTGATAGAGCATGTTCAGGCTGCTGCCGCCGTCCATAAGGACTCGAGTGAGGTGAAATCCGTCGATGATGGGGTCTAGGACCAATGCTGCGGATCTGCCATGACGGATACTAGTGGGGTGGTCCCTGCGATCGAAAGTGATCGGACAAGAGGATCATGGTTTGAACTTTGGGGCGACGGGCTCTATCGCATAGACGTCCCTGAGTGCACGCTTTTCGTTCCCTCTTGGGAATGTGGGTTGCGTATATCATGTTCACCGTCTTCGCTTGTGGGGGGAACCTCTTCTGTCCACCAGTTTTCAGCGGCTGGGGCTCCTCCTCGTCATCACTATGCAGCCCCTTGTCATTGTTTTCGGCATTCGACTTGCCGGCCTGGTTGAACACCCAGCATTCTCTGTTGGTGTGATTGGCTGGCTTATCGGGGGTGCCGTGGATTTGACACAAGCGATCGAGTATGCGGTCCAAACTGGACAGGCCCGGACTACTTCTTTTGAATGGCTTTTTCCGCTGACCGGATCTAGAGCCTCTGAATCCGGCATTGACTGT